AATTACTTGGTGCCGTAAAGGATGAGGTCCTTGGCCATCCTGCTGAGATGGGTCATGCACAGTGAAGCCCAATACAGGAACTCGGCTGGGAGGGAGAAAAGGTTCCCAGTCACCAGGCCTCTCCTGTCCCCACCCAGCCTCGGCATACAGGGGGTGGGAGGAGGTCTGAAACCTTTTCTCCCTTCCAGCCAAGCTCCTGTTCTGGGCTTTGCTGTGCATGACCCATCTCAGCAGGATGGCTGAGGACGTCACACCTGCAGGTAATAAAAGCTGGTTTATTTAAAACAACAACAAAAAACAGGCTAGGTGCAGTGGCTCACATTTGTTATCCCAGCACTTGGAAGGACAAGGCAGAAGATGGCTTGAGCCCGAGTTTCAGACCATATGCCTACAGGTAAGCTCCGGGCTGCCACCTCCTGGCCTCTGGTGAGATACCATTCACATACAATTTACTCATTTATTTATTTTATTTTATTTTTTATTTTATTTATTTAGTTTTTTTGAGATGGAGTTTTGTTCTTGTTGCCCAGGCTGGAGTGCAGTGGTTCAATCTTGGCTCACTGTATAGCCTTGGCCTCCCGGAATCAAGTGATTCTCCAGCCTCAGCTTCCTGAGTAGCAGGGATTACAGGCACCAGCCACCATACCCAGCTAAATTTTGTATTCTTAGCAGAGACAGAGATTCACCATGTTGGCCAGTGCTGGAATTACACCACCGCGCCCCAACCAATTTACTCATTTAAAGTTTGCATGCAGTGCACAGCCATCACCACAACCAGCCTGATCATACAGGGGTAGGAGGAGACTGGAGAGAAGCTCGGCTAGGGGACAAAAGTGAGGCACAGGACAGGGGACTGGCTCCTCAAGACTCACCCACAAAGTCACGCTCACTGGTGGCATCCGTGCTATTGAGAGTCATGGCCCCAAAGTTGAGTTCTGGGGGAGGGAGGAAGCGGGGTTGGGCTGGAGCACAGGGAGTGACCTCCTCTCCCTCAGCCAGGTTGCCCAGGCCCCTCCCCCTGGAGAGAGGACGGAGCAGGGTAGGAGCTCCGGGGAGGGATCTTTCGCACAGTCCCAGGAGGGAAGCAGGAGCCCTGAGTCTCTCAGTACCTGGCACCCCTGCCATGGGTGACTGCTGGCCTGGATGACCTCAGTGCCCGTAGGCAATGAATGAGGTTTCACCAGGAGACACAGGGCCCTGCCCTCTGGTGTCAGGTGTGTCTGCAGGTCCTGGTGGGTGCTGAGGGTGACTCTACTTGGAAAATAAGGGCAGAGCATCTGACCTGCTGAGAGCAGCTGTTGGTGCACACCCAGGGGATTGCCCGTAATGACCCTGCTGCATGGACAGAGATTCATGGTGACCAGGGCTCCTAGCAGGCATCCCTGACACACACACACACACACACACACACACACACACACACACACACACAGAACCAGGTCCTGATTTCCAGGGCAACCGCCTGAAGCTCAGCCCCTTCCCTGGCCCAGTTACCGCAGGTGCGCAACACTTGTCCCCAAGTGTCCCCGGGACACTTATGTCCAAGCACTGAGTCTCCTTGGGTGCAGAACACTTGTCTCCTGACACAAGTCCCCATGTGTCAGGCTGAGGGCAGTGGGCTGCGCTCGCCAGGACCCTCGCTGGAGAGCTCTGGCCCTGCTCAGACACATTCACCGGCTTGGTTGTCCCCATCTTAGTGAGAGCAGGGGCTCCATGCAGGGTCCCCCTCTGAGCGGATAACTCGGCTTTCTGTCCCACTCTGCCCTTCCCAGCTTGACTGTCAATCCCTAAGGCCATGTAGCAGCCACCCCCACCAGGCCCTCAGGGCACTGGAGCCTTACCACCTCCCCAAGGGCAGGACATCGATCTGCTTCTGTATCTCCAGCAGCCATTCAGAGTCTCAGGTCAGCGCCATGGCATGGCTGTGGGAAGCCAGGGGCAGGAAGGTCAGGGCAGCCAGGGTCCACCCCTCCAGCATGGCCCCTGCACCTCAGCCAGCTCACCTCAGGATCCAGTGGCTCCAGTGGATGGGCTGGGCCCTCTGTAGGTGAGTGTGCCCCCAGAAGAGGATGTCATATTCCCTGTGGGAGAGGAGGCATAGGGGCTTGGGTGGAGGCTGAGGCTTGGGTGGGGCAAGGCCTGCCAGTGACAGTGGGACCCTGCAGGCCTGGGTCAGCCTGAGAAGAAGGGTTGCCCTGCAGTACTGTACCTGAATGAGGGATCCAGGATCTCCCAGGGACAAATTGCAATTAAGGGAAAAAGAGGCCAGAAGTGGGGCCATGTGAACCAAGGACTGGGCCTGAGCTGTGGGGCCTCCTGGGGTGAGGCTTTACCAGGAACACCCAAAGCCTGAGCCTCTGCCACTCGGCATCTCTGAGCGGGGGCCAGAAGAGGGGAAGAGGCCCGTGTTGGGTATGACCTGGCCATGGGAGGTTTCGTTTGAGGACCCCAGAAATAGCTGGGGCCATTCAAGAGCTGCTCCGAGCAGGTGAGACACCATGCCCCTCTTTCAGGTAGGCAGGGCAGAGGCAGAGTGATGTGCTGTGAGTGATGCTCGTGTTTTTTTGTTGTTCTGTTTTTAGAGACAGGGTCTCGCCCTGTCGCCCAGGCTGGAGTGCAGTAGCACGATCACAGCTCACAGCTGCCTCCATCTCCTGGGCTCAAGCGATCCTCCTGCCTAAGCCTCCTGAGTAGCTGGGTCTACAGGGTCATGCCACCATGCCTGGCTTATTTTTAATTTTTTGTAAAGATGGGATCTTATTATGTTGCCCAGGGTGGTCTGAAGCTCCTGGGTTCAAGCAATACTCCTGCCTTGGCCTCCCAGGAGCTGGGGTTACAAATGTGAGCCACCACACCTGCCTGTTTTGTTGTTGTTGTTGTTTTTGAGACAGAGTTTCTCTCTTGGTGCCCAGTCTGGAGTACAGTGGCACAATCTCGGCACACTGCAACCTCCGCCACCCGGATTCAAGAGATTCTTTTGCCTCAGCCTCCCAAGAAGCTGAGATTACAGGCGCCTGCCACCATGCCTGGCTAATTTTTTGTATTTTTCATAGAGACAGGGTTTCACCATGTTGACCAGGCTGGTCTCAGACTCCTGACCTCAGGTGATCCACCTGCGTTGGCCTCCCAAAGTGCTGGGATGACAGGTGTTAGACACTGCACCCGGCTTGTTGTTTTAAACAAACCAGATTTACTGAGACATCATACACATATAATGTACTCAGTTCAAGTTTACTCTTTAGTGTACAACCATCACCACAGCCAATTTAAGACTTTCATCACCCCATAAAGAAATTCTGTACTCAGCCGGGCACGGTGGCTCACCCCTGTAATCCCAGCACTTTGGGAGGCCAAGAGGGAAGAATCACTTGAGGCTGGGAGTTTGAAACCAGTGTAAGCCACACAGCGAGACCTTGTTTCTACAAAAAAAAATGTAAAATTTGCTACTGTGGTCCTAGCTCCTCAGAAAGCTGAGGTGGGAGGATTATTTGAGTCCAGGAGTTTGAGGCTGCAGTGAGCTATTACCAAGCCACTGCACTCCAGCCTAGGTGACAGAGCAAGACCTCATCTCTAAAAACAATTTAAAAAGTTAAAAATTAAAAAATTAGGCCAGGCGTAGTGGCTTATGCCTGTAATCCTAGCACTTTGGCTAGGATTACGAGGTGGGCGGATCACCTGAGCTTAGGAGTTTGAGACCAGCCTGGCCAACATGGCAAAACCCATCTCTACTGAAAAAAATACAAAAATTAGCTGAATGTGGAGGTACTCACCTATAATCTCCGCTGTTTGGGAGGCTGAGGCACAAGAATTGCTTGAACCCAGGAGGTTGAGTTTGCAGTTAGTCGAGAT